CTCTACCCATGAACAGATTAGCAGGCACTGATGTAGCACTGGGAAGCAAGAAGACAACTAATGAACTGCTATGTATGTACCCCCCATCCATGGGGGAAGCTGAAGTCAAAGTTTAAGGGCTAATGAAAAATATCAGAAAGCCTGCCTTTTGAAAAAAATTTCGTTAAAATGCCCGAGCTGACATCACGAACTCTTTTCCATGGTTGAAATATCCCTGATCTGAATTCTAGATGCATTATGTTGAAAGCCTTCTCATGACAGGCACAGCTGATCGGTTTTGTCATGTTCCAAAACTCAAACTTCATGATTTGAAAAACGGGGGTGTGCGATAGACTTACCTCTACGTGGTGCACTCTGGGCAACGTATACTCATACGGCAAAAAAGTCTATTAACCGGCAGTTGACTTCTGACTTCAAAATACCATGGCACGACTGCTTGTCATATTCGACCGCTTCCGCAGTACTCATCTTACCCTTTTCTCTGCCTTTGTGTCTGTCTGCCTCTTTAACATCTGTGAATCGCTCTTCTGTTCCCCACCCCTCGACTTTCTGCTACTTTGATGAACCTTCCCTCTGTGAAGCCCGAAGTCAACTAAAGGGCTAATGATAGCTATCAAAACGCCTGCCATTTGAAATAAATAAATGATTTGAAAAAACAATTTAAACGGGCATGACGCATAAGTAAAGTTAGACTGTAAAACGACGCCAACAATTATACGAAGTCAAAAGCAAACCCGTATTTTTACTAAGATTATCCACTTTTCTCCTACATGCGATTCCTTCCCTCAATTATCAGAAATTAAATTAATTTATTCTCTAAAGTTATCATTTTTTTCCTTTACATAAGCATTTGTCTGAGTTTTGCAATTTCAAAGTCTGTTGAAAGGTAGTATGACGAATAGAGAAGCAACCTACAATCACAACCATAAGCAACTCACATTAAATCGACTCGAGCATTAAGAAATTCCAACCGTCATGATAATCCTTAGTTTCTGAGTAGGTGGGAGACCAAGCTATTGCAGAATTCCTTCAATTCCGTAGAGCACACGATCTTATACGACAATAACATCTTTAAAAAATTAAATGACTTGCATATTGTCACACAACTAACCATTGACAAAAAGAATGCACTAATTGACGGAGTTAATTTCCTAGTACGTATTTGATTAGTTTAAAGGCAACAACTCAATACTAACCGTGCGATTCAATTAAAGAAACGGTTTAACTAGATTGACAGTGACCTGAAATCTGACATGCACAGCTCAATTAAAATGCAATTTCCACAAAATTGAATCATGTTTTATTCTTGCAATAGACAGCACCTCAGGAGTAAGTTTAATGAGGGAGACACAGCAGGCACCAAAGTGAATCCGCTGTTTATTCAAAATCTGCCAGCAGCACTATGCACTTAATCATCATGGAAGAAGAAATTTCCGGCGTGTTTCTGTTCCACGTCTTTCACGGAGTTTAACTTATTGATTCGAGGTCGACAATTTCGCGAATCACGACGGAATGTGATATTCAAGGCTTTAAGGAATTGATTCATTCCCGACACCATGTTTTGCGGACTAGAAACAAGTAGGAAAAAGTATTTAGCATAAGGAATAAAAAATAAAACTTTACTTTTGGGATATAGGAAATAAACCACTTATTGGAATTAATCTCTAAAATCAAACCAAACTAGACTAAGCGAAGACATTTCTCGTCCTGTACCCTACAGACTTCAAACTTAACGTATAGAAGGGAACTGCACACAAAGTCACCTGAAAAATTAGTAAGGGGGTCGGGGCTGAAAGCTGACGATCTCCTTGCTCAGAGGATTACTAATGCCTTAAAATTGATATATCAATTGAAGAAATGTAAAACTGCAAGTGATACAGATAACACTCGGAAGTGTACAAGCAGTATCATGATAAAACAATATCAAAACAAAGCTATAATACATTCATGAAACCTGGTATAAGATATAGAGATAAAAACAATAAATAAGAACAAATAAGTGCAAAGATGTCATGCGAGGCATCATAAAAACTCTTTCAAGAGCGAGCTTCCAAAAATGATAGAGCTGGAATGCTCCATAGGGCCTAAGAAGTACAACCTACCCCTTATATGATAATGCCCTCGTTTATTCTAACGATTGAATAGATTGCTAATTGAAACAACATGAGACAAGCAGGCAGAAATACCCATCCCCTTGTTCTAATGTAATGAAAACAACGATTTACCTTGTGGCAACAGCACTAACACCAGGAGTACCCTCAAATACTACAACACGATCGGCAAGATAAGTAGCCATGATGAAATCGTGTTCCACAATGAAGGCTGTCTTCTTCGCGTGCATAATGAATCGTTTGATGACCTTGGCACAGTAGAGACGTTGTTCAGAGTCCAAGTAAGCCGATGGTTCGTCAATTAAGTACACATCAGCTGGCAAGCCCAAACACAACACGATGGCTACACGCTGCAACTCACCACCAGAGAGATTTTGAACCTACAAGAAAAGCGACAATACGTAAATCAGCCCACGTAATATGAATTGAGAACACAAAAAACAACGTAATTAACAAGCAGGTATCTACGCAGTTTAGGGTTCACATCAGAACTTACATATTGTTGGTAAAGTCGTTCCATTTGGAGGGGTTTAAGTACATCAGTGGCGAATTGTGGATGAATGAAGGCTGTCTTAATCTTTTCGTAGAAGAGATTTTGGACAGTCTTATCGGTCTTTGGACTAATCTTTTGGGGTTTGTAAGAGATATTCAGAGAGGGCATCTTTACACCACCATCAGGCATTAGACTACCAGCGAGCATTCGAATGAACGTTGTCTTCCCAGTACCGTTTTCGCCCAACATTACAATGATTTCGGAATCAGAAAAGGAACCAGCTTGAATCTCGAGTTTGAATGAGCCAAGGGTCTTGGTCATTGAAGGATATTCATATCGTGCTGTTCGCTTAATTTCCTCCTCAATTCCTGTTTCAGAGACCTAAAATAAATTAGCAATACGGCACAAATCATTTAAATAATGGATAAACAGATAATGAACAAGAGAATCAATAACCACCTTGAAGACTAGTGGGACGTCACGGAACCGCAAGTTTTCCGTTGGAACCATACCGTCAAGGAAAATATTAATTCCCTCACGAACAGAAAAGGGCATAGTAACAACACCATAGGCTCCCGGAACGCCATAGAGACAACAGATATAATCCGAGAGGTAGTCAAGCACGGAAAGATCATGTTCAACAGCAACGACATAATTGGATTTCTATGAAAAAATAAGAGGATAAAATGGGAAGAAATTCGACCTACATCGAGGAGATCACGAATCATGATGGCAGCATTAAGACGCTGCTTCACATCAAGATAAGAACTTGGTTCATCAAACATGTAAATATGGGCCTTTTGAATACAGACCATGGCAATAGCAAAACGCTGAAGTTCACCACCAGATAGTTCAGCGACTTTGCGTTCAGTCAGATGAGTGAGATCAAGGGTATCAAGAATAACATCCTGGTTGCCTTTATCATCTTTCCGATCGAGCAGTTCTTGCACGACACCATTCACGAGCTTTGGAATCTGGTCAACATATTGAGGTTTGGTTACGGCCTTCAAATTATCTTCCAATATCTTCGTGAAATAGTTTTGAAGTTCAGATCCACGAAAATAAAGCAGAATATCAGTCCAATCTGGTGGATCCTGAAATCAGACAAATATGATCCAATCAATAAGAAATGACGAAAATACAGATAAGATAGCGAACAAAACAAACCCTGAATCTACCCAAATTCGGTTTCAACTTTCCATGAAGAATTTTCAAAGCTGTGGATTTACCGATTCCGTTTGTTCCTACTAAACCAAGAACCTCCCCAGGTCTGGGCATCGGAAGTCTGTGTAATTTGAAGGCATTTGGACCAAAACGATGAGTAATCTGGCTCTCAAGATTACTAGCCAAGTTAATTATACTTATCGCTTCGAAAGGGCATTTTTTCACACAAATACCGCAACCAATGCATAACTCTTCGGAAATGAGGGCTATTTTATCCGTGGGCGTCACCTCGATACATAATTTGCCTTAAAATATCATTTAAACGAGAAATTTACATACCCATTCGATTTACGGGACAACACTTTTTGCACTCCAGTTTGCATTTTTTTGGTTTACACTTATCAGTTCTTACTATGGCAATTCGCGTGAGCTTTTCCTGGGTTTGTGATTGAGCCATATTATATAAACCACATACAACGTGACTCGAATGCTTAACGCAATGCTGGCTATGTGAAACCTGCCTTGAAAAATCGCGTATACGAATGGTTATTAAAACAATCCTAAAATCGTTAAACTATATTATTTCACTTTTTCAGTCATTGCCAATACTTTCATTTTAGGAGTGACATTAAACTGTGGCCAACACAAAACAATTGGGTAATGCTTAATAACCGCTTAGTTTCTATGTTTGGATTGTGTACTATTATTTATTGCTTAATTCTTTCCGACGAAAGTTGATTTCACTTTGTTTACATTTTTAGATTAAAATTCCAAACCTTATTCTTACCTTGAATTGGATAAACTTTTGGCATTTAACTTTTCATGTTACATTTTAGTATTTCCTTATCAAGTTAATTTTCAGCTTTCACAAAAATGCATCGATGTTTCCTTTGTTTAATCATCCTCCAATTTTTACGGGTTTATTTCATCTTTAAAGCCTAAGTTAAAATGGGTAATTTTGTTCATACATGTTATCTACAGTTTCCCACATTCTGATTGCATCCATTTTAGTTCAATAATGCCTTGGATATAAGCATAAGCATATTTCGATTTTCATTTTAATTATTAATGTCTCATTCAGCATAGTCTGTTGCAGGCTTCCCTATATGAATCTCCCACTTAATGGCCTCCAGGTGTGAGCATATGAAAATTTCGGTTACCATAATCTGGTTATTGAATGAAAAGACATTTAATAATGGGGTTATGTTCACCAATTTCAAAAAATCGGACCCCATCTATTTATAGAAAGCGTACTAACTTTCTCAAAGGTACATGGAATTTAAAACCCTCATTTAATTTTCGCCATGACAAATATTAAAATTGTAAGGTTTTTACACATAAATAAAGATATCGATGAATTTGTTGTTTCCTCTTCCATCACAATTTTAAAAAGAACGTATCTGAAAGGAAAAAAATATTGAAGAATTCATGCCTCTGTAAACACAATATACGTCGGAGAATCCATTAGTGGGTTTGAAATAGTTTCCTATAAGCCACCAAACCAAGTTTCATTTCCACAAGCATATTGGAATTAGAGGTAATCCCGCTTAAATCTACTGACCAATGTGAACACTAATATCGTACATCACTATTTAGAGAATAATGTGTTGGTCGGAGACCGCAGATATTTTCCATCGACGTAATGAACAAGTGACAAAGAGATAGAACAAAAATGTGAAATTGAAGAGTTGGAAGCAAATGCCAGAGCACACTGAGAGGAATTGGATTTATTTACCTGTTTTGTACGCAACGTTTGCCTAGGTAGAAGTCGATATCCAATATATATATATATATATATATATATATATATCTGCTAGGAAAGAGCAGACAGGTAAACTAGACATGTTTTCTTCCGGGGGGAGGATATGGTAGTATTAAATTCATTTTTAGTTTACTTTGAAGGTCCACTATGTACTGGTTCAGCACAGTCTTATCAACCATCCCTTATAGTTGTGTTATGTGTAAATGTACGACGCTGAATACAACCGCCTAGTGCAAAGATGCCAAGGATGCTACTAGGGAGGCCATATAAGGGGGCAACGACGTACTAATGCTGCGGTACTTCTAATATACACAAAAATCTCTTCGCCTCACCGCAATTCGGGTGCATGCTCTTTTTATTCCTGCTTATACCAGACCTCTTATTGCCTTTGATTAAAAGGCTGCTTTATATACCGAAACAAATGTTTTAGCTTTGGATGTATCTCCACAGTTGCCTATTCCAGAAACCAAATATGCCTTCTCCGATAATATCACTTCCTATTAGTTGAAGATTCGAGGTTAGAGAACTATCATTCGAAAGTTGCCAAGTTGGGTGCGGTTTACAAATAACAACTTACACTGGAACATGACATCTTCAGCTATCGCCTAAATATACAAGCCAGATTTGAATAGGATAACTAGATTCATCTAGCTGCATCATTGAAATTTATTCGTGAATTACTCTAAATGGTTATACATCTGAATAGTTTCATTATAGTGCCCATCTATCCGCATTCAATTGGCTCACCCTACTGATAATTAGAAAGGACACACTATTAAACGCCCTAACGTTATTTCAAATGGCATATTAAACGCCTTAACATAAAATAATGGGGTGTGCTATAGACTTACCTCCACGTGGTGCGCCCTGGGCAACGTATACTCATACGGCAAAAAAGTCTATTAACCGACAGTTGACTTCTGGCTTCTAACTACCGCCACCCCACTGTATGTCAAATTCGACTACTTCACAGTACTCACCTCACCTTTTTTCTACCTTTGTGTCTGTCTCTTTACATCTTCGAAACACTCTTCTGTTCCCCCCCTCTCGAATTATTTTCACTTTGATATTTCTACTCTGTGAGGCCTGAAGTCACCTAAAAGGTTAATGAGACTACCAAAATGCCTGCCATTTGATACAAATAAACGTAAAATAATGATTGGCTAAGTAGCTTGCCGATGGGGTCACTATCTTAAAACAGAGGGGACTGAAGTAAATATTTTTTTGTTTGACATGTCAAAGGTGTGCGCGAGCTTTACGTTTCGTTTAACAAAGCAAGCCCTTTCTAATTCATGCTGATAATGATGCTGTTTGGAGTCTCCAACCCCCTTCCCCCTCCCCTCCCCTCCTAAATCATCCGTTGAAAAGCGTTTTCCATACACCTCACTACTTCACAATTTTTTGCCATTAAGACAGAAGGTTCAAGTATCGACTTCCAGTCCCATTGGACTGGAGTTCCCTGTATTGCGTAAGGACATAATTTTACTCGTGAAAATTTTCACCTCTACCCACTGTTGAAGTTAACTGGATTTGAGTGTTGCTACTTCTGAAATAAAATGATGCGTTGCTAGTTTTAACGGACGTTCAACTTGAGGCAATTAAATAACTTTCACATTGACTCTGGAAACAATAAACACCATGAACCTTACCTTCCAAAATTGGCATGAGATTATCGATTTGCATTATTTATTTCAACCCAGCTGGATAGAGATCATGCATTTGTATTGCATCGTCGGGTGGAGTAAATATAAACAGCGCAAACGGGTGTTTGCTAGAGGTCGTACGTCTGATTGGTGGCTCGCACTGTGCAACAAATACAACTGTCAAAGCGCTTTCCTTCTCCATAAATGCGTGCAAGTACCGCAATTTCACATAAATGCAACGTTGGCGATATGTAGCAAATCGATATTTTGCAAAATTGCAGTTTTAGAAGTTAGCCTGCTAGCTAAAAGACAGTTTTAGAATAAAGTAGGTGACACTTGTAACGAGGTCACCAGTCTTCACAGATAGATAGCCCCATAAATGAGCCAATCCAACACTGGATTAAACACACTAAACTTGGAGAATAAAGCATGAAATTTTCCATTCTTGCAACTAAAGAAGCAGACAAATAATTCAACCCTCATGACTAACCAAATCAAATGATTAACGCCCTGAAGCCTCATTGGCGTAAAACCTCTGAATCTTCGAACGCACATGTTAACCGTTAAGGATAATGAGCGAACATTCAAACGGGTCATTAATTCATTGGAATAGATTAAAGGCCCTCAAAAACGAAAAAACAGGTCCTGAAAGCATAAAACCTCAACGAAAAAGTGACGACTGACATATGCAAGACAGTTTCAATTGCGCAAAGAAGATAAGGCTCAACTGCATCAAACAAACGTCCCAATACATCCTAAGGACAATAGAGCCCTTTAAATTGGCTAATCAATAAACCAGCAAAAGTTGAGAGCTTTATTTCAAACTTCTCGCGAGTAATATTAAAATTAAATCAGCGACGTTTTAGAGCAACCAAAAATTAAAAACTTAAAGGGCTGCCAAATGCAATACAAATATGTTATAGAAAGGAGCAAGTCAGAAACAAATGGGAAATCACATTTGAAATAGGACAACGCATATACACTGATCGCCGATTCAATCCCGTCAAGCGAAATAAAAGATTTTGACCAACTTTTTAGCGCTAACTTAACTAGCAAAATATTATACAAATATTTCAGCAACTTAAAAGCACACAAATAATACATGAATTAGGCAAGCTCTAATTGATGTGAATCATAACCACGCCATAACACTAATGTCAGTTCCATGTTGGATTAATACAAATGGAAATTAACAAAATAACCAGATACGTCACATGATAAAATAAATTTTAAAAATGCATAAATGCTAATATAGTTCAACAATAATAGTAAAAAGTGCGCGGAGCAAATAGGTGTAACGGAATATGACCTTACTGAGTACCCAAATATTGAGGTAACTCACAACACGGATTGGAAGTGTTCTAGTAATTAGGTAAATATTTAGGCCAATTTTTCATGAACATAGATAGAGAAAAGTTGGTTTGCAATTCAATAAATTATTACATAGAAGAGAGCGAGAGAATGATCACAACAAAGCTTAAATTCCATAAAGGAAATTTAAGCTACCACGACTACACATACACAAAAAATCAGCTTTCTATGGGGTCGGGAATTACGGTCACATTTGATGGAATGCAGGAAGAGGAAATAGTCTGTAATATAGATATATGCGTCATCAACAAACGATAGTTACAACATACTAAGGAAGAAGGGATATAAATGAAAGGGCCAGCCGTTAAGATAGAATGAGATAGAATGCACGACAACCTTTCAAATTATTGGCTACAGAGGATAAGAGCCACGATGAGACCGTACAATCCTAAGACTTCGGCAAAGATGAGAATCAAGATCATGCCAACAAAAAGACGAGGTTGTTGGGCAGCTCCTCGAACACCAGCATCGCCCACAACACCGATAGCAAATCCAGCCGCTAGACCACAAAGCCCTACACTAAGTCCTGCACCAAGTTGTTTGAGGGATCTAAGATACACGTCATCAGTAATATCAGCCTGACTTACAAATCCATACTCTTCATATTGTCACCCTTTGACGCAATAACAACGGAAACAACTAAACCGTAAATAGCGACGATACCAGCCATAATAATTGGCACAAGTGACTTCATGATTGACTCAGGTCGCATCACACCCATTGAACAGATGCCAGCTCCGGACTTAGCGGTACCATAAGCCGCACCAAATGCTAAAGGAAATTAACTGCAACAAATTATACGTACCACAAAAGACGATTGATGCCGTGGCACCCATAATTCCGAAAAAAGGAGCATAAGTCGGATCGGTAGACATTTCAAAGGACAGATGGCGATTTTACTGTGGAGCAAGACCCGCCAAGCTTTAGCGCAGTAAAACACAACAAGAGTGATTAAATGTATTCATTTTCTAAAAATAGTACAAGTTAAATATCGAAAACTTTATTTTATTGCTTAATTAATTTAGTTTATTGATAATTTGTTGCCATATGAATGCGACAGAATTTTCTTTGTAGGGATATTAACGAACATTGATTGCGCTGTTCAAAGCTCATCTTCATTTCAACGTCTCGTTTTATTTAAACCGTTATTATTTTTCCTTTATATGATATTGCATATTGAAATTAAAACGTCCTGAAGTAAAAAGCTTATTAGTTTATTAGCAGGATTCAGTCCATTGTTTTTTAAAAGATAAATATAAGGTGTGTCTGGGATATATTATAGCATATACTAAAGGTAAATATGTTTGAATAATAATTTTTTTCAAAGGTGTTGTGTAGATAATCAGTCAACAGATGATTGTTAAATTAAATTAAATATTTTTGTGCATCATTCGCATTATAATTTCCCAACTTACCAGTTCATTCACATCTTGAGAGGGAAAATTCGTACTTATTGTTAAGCAACTTTTAACTATTGTCCATGTAATGGTTTGAGTTCCCATTAATATTTTCTCTTATAATATAATTAATGATATCAGTGCTCTCGGTTTGTACTTAACTTGTTTTAAATAATCTAACATTAGGCAGAAGCTGACGTGTTATAATTACTTTCTCAGTTTCTTAGGGTAGTTTTGGATACCTCGAAGTAATACTTATTCAAGTCTTTTAATAGCGTCACTAAAGCTAATTAATATATGTTGGATTAAATTCTACAAGATTTTTTTACACCAGAATAAGCCCCAATCTTAGTATTATTCTTGTTGTAAAAAATAGCTTTCCCTTCTATTTTCAGTCTGTTTTCTCCTGTGCAACAAACTACTTTCGTTTTACTTCCATCTACATATGTGCTCTCTTGATTCGTGCTATATCGTTTCTTTTTATCTCTTTTTTATCGGCATCATATCATAATTACTGGTTCTAACTGGGCTTTCAAATAGTATTTCATCAGACACTCTACCAAACAGCATTAAATGAGGGGTTGCCATATAGGTCGGTAAAAATTATCGAACAGCTTCCTAGGTTGCTCACTCCTCTTTCGCTTTCAGAACTGTTCTTTCGATAATTTCTACAAATCCCATTGAAAATCGCTTGTTTGGGGGTGAAACCGAAGTATAAGAATAAATATAAGAAAAGCACGATTAATAAAACTGCACTTCCGTGTCGGTACCAGAGTCCTTGAGAAACCTTGGTTCCTGAAGTGCAGTCAAGAGTGCTGACAGTTGTTGCCATATTTGTTGATGGCTCTGACCTTACTTACGGCTATCTGTAGTCTAAGTCCACCAAAGGTAAGTGGGAAATACAATTCATAAGACCAGCACAATCACCAAGACCTCTGACCCATGGAGCGGTCACTGGTGTCAAGGCTTCTCACATTGTTTGTCGCAGTAATTTGACAATGGCTTGTTGTCTTTACCTATTTTCGGTCAGTATGCGTACTTTCTGACCAAAGTATTCACCATATTTATTCTTAGCTAACATAAGCTATTTTCTTGAGCACAGTCAAAGTGCAATCTCTATCATCTAGTATTAAACAAGAGTTTACAGTAACTTATACCTAACAGCAAGCCCCCCTGTGTTGTCAAACTGTCATTGATTTTCTTATGACAAAGCGTACTTTATTATCGTCGAAGTAAAAGGACTCCTCTGAATCGAGTCTGTCAGAATAAAGCTTACATAATTTACGGAAATAACTATAGCTGGTGCCTGTTGATTCGATATTAACCATGATAGTCGATAGACTCTTCTAACTCAGTAGCCTTCCGATATTTGATTTCTAAAGCATATAATGACAAAATCATTTTCTCCCACTGGGGACAGCATGTTGAATAAATTTAAAAATGAATAACAAAGAATATATTGTCTGTTTGAAGGATAAAGTGATGATAGCATATATAACGGCAAGTACTTCTTCAACACTCTTGTCCTTAGTTCTCTCCTATTGGGATTAGCGAATGGAACACATCAGCCAAAACCTCGTTGAAGCATCCAGAAAACATGGGAAATCACTACTCATGGACCATAACTCGAAGTATTGGTTAGTTTGGCATTCTCTAGCCTTCTGTAAGGAGAATCTAAAGAATAGTAATTTCCCCTCATGGCCAGCACAGTTGTGAGGCTTCTTAGTGGTGAAATAGTTTTGTTTTGTTTGTATTCTTGTACGGTTATGAAATTCCCCCCAGTATCCATATCTTTAGGCGTTACTTCTTCCACATTTGTCAGCTTAATCGCCCAAGATGATATTATGATTTTGTGTAATCAAAGTGAGACACCATACACGGACATGAGAATAGCAGAAATTCCATAAACCACAAAGAACTAAAAGACAATTAAAGTGATTTTTTGAAATAGAATTATTCAAAATGGTCATTTATATGATTAACGTAAATAATCCTTTCCTCATCAGACTTCTTTCTCAATGTCAGAATTTTGAAGTATTTGCTAAGTTTCTGAAATTTTGCTCCCTCGAATTCGAGATCAGACAATTCCCTTAGACGTGGTATACAATCACTAAGGCTATTAACAAGAACTTTTGCAAAAATGAAATTGTACTTTGAAAACAATTATTAGAATTAAGGTCAACTTATGAAGAATGACTGTAGGAGCAGTTTGAGGGTAGGTTATTCCGATAGTTCCGGATCAGACGATTCGTAATGTGGATCACTTTCGTCAAAAGGCTTTATTGGTGTTATTACTCTCGTTTCATTCGATACAATTGCCTGGTTACTTTTTCAATATTTGCCTAAATTGAAAGAAAACTGAAAAAATCCATAATAAAAACAATAAAGTTATTCAAATTGAAAGAGATTCCCCAAAGGGCTTGACGTAATTCAATCAATATTTCAGAAAGGGGGAACTTGTACAGTGCAGTTATATTCAATATCATATTTGCAGTAATATAGGACCAGAAATAGGTGAATAATATATCCTCAATTTATTAACCTCGGCTTAGACATTACGTTTAGCCCTAGGGACAAACGGGTCAGACACGAGGTCAGGGAATCTGTATGATTTGAGATGGATATTAATAACATACAATTACTTTATTTAAAAGTGAAACTTCCGTGGAGTATAATCATTAAAGTGGTTAGATGATTAACAGCACAGTTAAAATTAGATGGATAGGGGGGTATTCTATCAAAAGTCTTACTCGTTCTAGAAAATAATGGATGGCATGAATAGGAATATTACCTCAATCTAAATAGGGGGGGGNAGGGGGGGGGGGGGGGGCGATTGACCTACCTCCACGTAGTGCACTGTGGACAATGTATCTCATACGCCAAAAAGTCTATAAACGTGTAGTTGACTTCTCACTTTAAACTACCCTGACCCGACTGTATGTCATATTCCACCACTTCCACAGTACTCCACACACCTTTTACTCTACCTTTGTGTCTGCCTCTCTTACATAAGTGAATTACTCTTCTGCTCCCCCCCCCCCCCCCCCCCCCCCCCCCCCCTTTTTTNCCCCCCCTCCCTTGACTTTTTGTGACCTTGCCATTTATACCCTCTGTGAAGCTCGATGTCACTAAAGGGCTAATGATAACTATCATTAAGCCTGCCATTTGATATAAATAAATATTTTTGTTTGAAGCGTGGTCTAAATGTGTAAATGGGCGTAAAATGAAAGCTCATAAGGCCTATAAAAGTACGAAAAGAGTACCAATATGAATAAAAGCGCGCCCATCTGAGGTAATACACAATCCTGCAACAATAGACAACTACCATCTTCCATAATATGGGTCACAAAATTGAGTATATATCGGCATACTTGCTTCTCATTGGTCTATATTTAAGTCAAAGCATGTCAATTCATTGGTATGTGAGGAAGAGATGAATAGGGGTGGGAGAAGGAAGAGTAGAAATCACAGAAATTTATATATGAGGATCAAATTTGGCAAGCTTCTCTGGGGGATATAATTGGATAGTAATAATAATAATAATAATAATATAAACAGAAAGAGTCGGTTCGGGCATTCGCGTATGCTTTGACTTCACTCCGGTCCAAGGGCAATGTAAATGGCAATGAGAGCAAAGCCCAAAATGAGGGAAACAATCTTCCCAAATCTGTCCTTAATGCCCACCTTCTCGTTCTCACCAAATTCACGTGGAAGCATCTCACAAAACACAACGAAGAAGAAAGTGCCACAGGCCAGACCTTGGAGAACTGCAATAGCCATAAGGAGGGCCGGCGAGGACCGCTGTGCAATGAGGGGCCAACCGATTAAAACGCCAATAGGAGAGGCTAGGGAGAAAAAGAGGGCTCCCATCCATTGAGAACGCGCGATTCCACCCACTTGTTGCTGATGTGATGTCGCCAAAGAGAAACCTAAAAAAATAAGTAAGGTGATTCCATATGACCTAACGTTGCTAAAATTCATTTCAGGACTACTAAGTACAAATTCGTCTGTACTAAAGAGGAGACTGAGTAACACCATTTTGTTATTCAGGAAAATGATTAATGTTTCAGACTTCACTGAACAATAAGTTATTCACAGACAGCAGACCTGCATAGTGGTGAGTTTAGCTATTGGTTAGGCGATTTATTTACTACAAAATGGAGGAAAGAATGAGGTATATGATTGGACAATGGGTTTCGCCGTTTATATTGCTAAAAGAAAATAAACCGATATATATATATATATATATATATATATATAAAGAAAAAATCTCTGGTACATATTATATACCAATTTTCGATAACTTACCTATACTAGCGGCCATAATAAGTTTATGAAGTAGAAGGGCGGAGAACAGTGCGACCACTTCAGATACACTTCGTTGTAAACCCACGGCAAGGCCTTCAAAGACAGAATGGACGGAGAGGGAGATAAGTAAGAGCATGACCTGAAAGGTCGAGGTGCCAATCGCAGCTTCAGAAATTATTTCATTATGGTGCGAGTGACCACCGCCGTGTTCGTGGTGGTTGTGGGGGGCGTCTGCATCGGAGGTGGGTATACTTCGATGCTTTCTGTGGCAGACATGGGCACCCTGTTCTATTGTCAATACCATGAAAAATCCGAATAGAGTGAAGAGGGCCGCGAAGGGGTAGTGTGTATTGATTTTAAGAGCACTCAAAGCAATCTCAATTGCGTCATTCACATCAGGGAAGAGATCCATTAGGCCTATAAACAGAAGACCGGCCATTAGCGCAGGAAATAATGCATAGTTTGCCCACATTTTTACAAGGGGCTTGTCCACTTACAAATGAAGTGAAGACGTATCATAGGTAAGATATAGTACCTACAATTGGTAGAGCAGCTGCTTCATAACAACATATCGCGGATCAAGAGTAAAGATGCTTATGATAAAATATTCAAAGTGGAATAAAGCAGTTATGAAAGTATCAGCTGATCATACAAATACAACCGCATAGATACCTGCAAAGTCATTAAGCCACAGGGCATTTTTGCGAATTCATTCTGACCAAAAGATGACTCATCGTGAGTGAATTAACTTAACGTAATGTCAGAGATCCCATGTCACATCCGTAAAATTTGATTCAATTGTGACCATATTCATGGTGATTGGAGGATTACAGTAAACATGAAATCAACAAACTCCTATCGCAAATTTTATTTACCTATCTCCGAATGAAAGGCAGAACATCAAAGCAATTTTTTTAAAACTGCATCATATCCGAGGAATTGGCAGTTTTTGTTTTGATTTCACGATAGCCAACATCAGTAAGAACTTAACCCCAAAAACTCAAATGAAACTAAGTTAATGAACAGATCAATAAATGTTCAATTCAAGCGATTTATCAATACATTTGCCAATAAAAAAATGATTACGTTGAATATTAGTACAAACTCGTGAAAAGACTAATAAAAAACGCATGCAGTAACGAAATCATCTACGGTTGGAGGCGAAATAAAATAAAATGATCATTGATTTAGAATTAGTAAACTTTCAATAAAATCGAACAAATATTTTCACTGACTAGCTAACTTTTGAAACTAAGATAGTTTGAATAAGGTAAAAAGAAGTGGAATAAGGAAGAGATATTAGTAAAAAAAATTGATGAGTATCATTGGGCATTCATGACGCTTAGTGAGTAGTAGTAGGCAAAGCGAAAGTGCACCCTTCTCTTCGTCCGTAACCAAGCACAAGGTGATTGAAGAGTAATTGTGCATAGAGCCTTAGACTTCCACAGAGAATTGCAAACTCGGATCGATGCGGACTGACAAGAAGTGCCATACACAGCTTAAGACCAAAGTTCCATACTGGAATTCCGAGCAGTTTAATGCACACAGTCACGGGATCGATGCACAGTGATTTGGATGGCCAAGCATACTAATTAGATTTGGTAGAAATGTAAGATATCTACCCATTATCCTCAAGTTTAAATGTTGTTAGAACTACTTTGGAGATGTGAGGGCTTAATCACAACCCACATTTTCAACAATATCTCATGTTTTAAACGAGACCATATCATATTTGACTTATATGTATGTCTTAGCAGATTTATGAAGGCGTAAACCTAATGTGTAATAGTGAAATGGATGCAAGGTCTAGTCATACAATTCTGAGAGGGGGAGAGAGACAATCCACACTGTCGGATTAAAATCAATATCACATAATTTAAAATTAGGACAATCTGTGTCTGGCCAATTTCAGTGGTATATAAACAAATTTTAAATTTAAATAATTTAATACGTCAAATAATTGAAACGGACACAAGCATCGTAAATTGGGCGGTGGCATATAATCTTAACGCATCTGTAAAAATTGCTTGATTTGTCAGTTTAGTAAACTTCACTTTAAAGCTAGGGACAATTTAAGAAAGTAGTTGACGTCACTAGTCATATCAGTGGCGCAGTACAGCGTAGAGGCTAGTCATGTGATGATTAAAAAAAACAAATAACATTGGTTTTAGCAAATCAATGCTTAATGCGATTTGGGTGCATGTTGATTAATAAGACAGCAGTCGATTTGAGCAAGGGAGAGATAAAATGGAATCGCTCCTATTGAGAAAGTTACTATTAATCACCCTTCCTGATTGATCAGAATTAACCAGTGAGCCGATTAATATTGAGCTCGTGAAATCTAAGTTGATAGATGTGTACATTGACAGCACAACACGTGGAATGGCATAATGGTAATTGTCCAGTGTACTCTGTTATGAATAAGATGACTTCCGTTTAGCCACGAATTATGGTCCCAAGGAAAGTTTGACAATTCGGGTCAGTATACCCAGGGTCCTATGTGTGTTTAAGATACGTTTATAGAGCAGCTACCATATCGGTCATTCTCTCTCTGTAAACATGCCAAAACAAGCTGACCTGATTGGGGTGTGGTTATTACTTCTTATGTAACCCAATATGTCCAAATTTCAATTGGACTATGCACAATTTTTTCCTCATTCCAAGCTCCTATCCTATAAATCGTGAAGAAGAGTGCCAGAAAATTCTCAAACACCCCGATTCACACCGTCACTCCAGAGCCACCAACCGACCAGCCCCAATCAAGGTAGAAGCCGAAAGAGAATTGAATACATTTACTGTGAAGGCACACACGCGCGCAAACTTAGCAAAGTGGAATTCTCTAGGAAAGAAAAAAAGCAATCAAATTTAGAGAGCTCAGATGGTTCTCCATGAGTCGAAATTGACGTGTTACTGCTATTGTATGATTAATAGAGCGTGGCCAAGATGAAGGAGATTAGGTGTTCTCTATCATACTGGAAGTGATGCTGAGTGTTTGCGGCGAGTCACGTGATATCCCGGCAGCTATTTCGTGCTAACTGGGTATTATTTAGTGCTGCGTTATCACGTGTTAACAGCGGTTCCGAATTCTGTCCTGCAGAAGATAATTTTCAATCGGACAAAGAGCGTTTATTGTGGAGACTTATTTGAGATGAAAATTGTTTCTAATATTATGCTAAATTTTCATCACCAATTATCCACAGACAGTTACTCCTGTTTGTTTTTCAGAGAATGATTGGTTTGGTTGTTAACAACAAGCGTAACCGTCTACAACATACGGTTTGTTCACCGGAAAAAAATATCGCGTTCATGAGACCTCGTTAGGAATTTCCTCCCAGTTGCATATACGAGCGTACAAAGTGGAGCTGACGCAAGCACTACAACCTACGAACAACGCAAAGGAGCAACGAGGAGTTAGAAATGAGAAGACGAAATACGATTGGGTGGAAACACCCCCAAATGAATTGGCAAGGGTTTTCCAAAACATATTGAGACGCGATGAGTTGCGTAATATTCACAATATTCCCCATTGACTACCCTTATATAAAAGAAATTATATTGTCTTGCATTTCTGTATTCACAAGCGACCACATTTCTCCTGCCCACACGGCTCAATGAACGCCACTTCAAGCTCATAGTCCTCATCAATACCGTCACCACAAGCGTGGAGTAGTTTTGGCAATGACGCCAAGTTATCGCCGTTTAAACTTAAGTGAAATTCTTTTACATTCAGTGAAGGTAAAGATTGAAGTAAGAAATAGACAAGAGCATAACTACTTCCGGTGACTTGAGATCATAATTGCAATAAGCTGAGCCTGCATTTTGGCATTTAAACTTGCTGAAGCACTAGCGAAATCTAAATAATCACTAAGAGTAGGTAGCTACAGCGACCAGAATGAAGCAGAACACAAATGGAGTGCCAACCGAAGTCTACTACAGAACAGCGACTAAAATAGCGAGAGAGAATAGGGAAAAAACTGAGAGAAAACTTGCGAGATAGACGAGAGATCCCCACTAGTGGGGTAAGTAACAAGCGTGTGCCCGCATGTGAGTCATAGAGACAAGCAGATGGAATGGGTTCGGGAATCGCTGATAGAAGAACTAAGCCCTAGCAATGATCACTCAAGAACCACCTAAGCAACTCTCATACAACAAATTAAAGCACTCGAGGAAGCGTGATGATGTTCTGCGAGGAACTTGACAACACGCGCAGGATTAGATACTTCAAATATCACTGCGAACTTGGCAATAGGCAAAAAATCATGCTCCCCTATGGGGTCAAGGTACTTAGGTGATGACCTAGATGCAAATTTCGGAAGCGCAAGAGAGTCATCATTCAAAAGGCATACAATAAGAAGATTTCTGTTTATGTCTCTTCAAGGTGTAAAGGAATATAACAAAAATAGTCTCAATAATTGATCGAGAATGTAGCCTTCTTCAAACCCCATGCAATGCAGTGGAAGTTACTTTTAGGGCAGCAACAAATTTCGCCAAAGTGCCATCGTTGATAGAAATATAGAGAAATATTAGAGAAAAAAGCAACTGTAATAGGGAAGAATGTTGACCGCCTAACGTTGAGAAAAGTTCACATACCGTCAGTGGCGTAGTGGCCACAGTCAAACCTAAGGTAAACCAGTGAATTATAAGATTGCTGTGTAAAAGCAGGTGATGAAGGTCGCATCAACCGTTTCAGGATGCTAATTTTTTGCCCACACACCAATATCAGAAAAAAACCCAACTCTTTCGGTTATCGTGTGCACAGAGTGATGGAAAGTAGAGGCCTTTCAAAAGGAGGCAATTAAAATTGGACACATATTGCAAAGGTGGCTGATAACCCCACACAGGAATAAGTATTCAAGAGACAAGAAACATACCTTCACCATACAGACAATTTAACAGAAAGCACAGCTAATGAACAAGTGCCTTGCGGATTGCATAGGGACAAGTAAGCAGTTGATAAGTTCTTCGAAGTGAGATGTTTATTCACTTGCTTGGCGCAGTGTAAATCGGTGTTCAAAAAAGCGGTGAACCCCCCCCCCCCCTCCACAACGCAGATCACAGCAAAGTAAATAATCACATGAATAAACAATGCTGGATCTGTGACTCCACGACAGAGAGTGAGAGAGAGAGAGACAGGTCAACCAGCCTAGCCGAGGAATGCTAGTTTGATTAAATTGACAATAAGTTGAGGGGGGGGGGAGAGAGAGAGCCTACTGTTGTCGTTAGACACTAGTCATTAAAGTTGATAGCGCACAAAGCCAATAATGGCAATATCGAACACCGACTGAGAGGTAAACATTGATCAATTGCAGTGGCAGAAAAACGTGGAGATTTCAGTTAAATAAACCCAGCCTGTTTAGTTTTCCATCCGAGTAAGATGGGGTGGTCGACTCATTCTCATATTTGCTCAATAGAAGAGTTGACAACAGGGGACTAGCAACTCTTAAGTTAATGAGGGAGGCGGCTTGTTACCAATTGAATTTTATTTTGGATAGGAGGAGGAGGAGGAGGTGGGAAGTTTGGTTAAGATTCTAAATCTATCATAAAATTAGACGTAGATAATGAGAGACTACGCCTTTATAGACACATGCTTTCAACCCCACTACACTGGAAATTAAATGAGGCAGATTACAGGGTTCACAATAAATTAGCCGAGTAGAGTATGAACCAAGAAGTTTAATGCCCATACGAGAGTACTGAATGAAAATAAAATAGGGCTGCTCTTCACATCACACTTACCTATATCAAAAATAATGACGGGAAAAATCGATAAATTTGGCAAGCTAGCGTTTAAAGACAAATTTTTAAAGACATAGAGGCGAAAATAAGCACAAAGACAATTGGGATAATGAGTCTTGGAGTGTCACAGATGGGAATCCTGAAGGGCCAAGAAACCAGGCTCTAAGTGAAAAAGCGATACAAAAAAAAACACCCGGTCATCTACAGATATGGCCAATAATGAGGGTGGATGGAATGGTCATTTAGTGTTCAGAAATCGTGCTATTTTCCACAAATTAATGACACTTGTAATAACAAAAAGGGCCTCCTTTATCTTCTCTCTCATTATTCAATTGAGTGGTAACTAACAATACGAATTCTGTCTTTAACACAAGAGTACAGGAGTAAAGTTGATTCGAAGAAAATATCGTTTTTAGAATCCTTTAGGCCATTAGAATATTCTTGAAACTTATTCCCAAGTATGGTACGAAAATCCTAATTTCATGAAGCCCTTTACCATCTGACTGTTGGTCCCCCCTAAGGGATGCTGGCACACAAGGAAAATTCCTCAAAACGGACGAACTTCGTAGCGGTTGCTTGAGCAATCAAACACTTGAAGAACTACTAGCAAAGAATGAGCTCCACAAAGTTTATTTAGCCAAACAGTGAGGCAAATATCAATCACCAAAACACTTGAAGCTAGTTACAAAAGTATTGCACTTAACTTCTAAAAGAAATGTCTTTCCAAAGGGCCTAAAATTCGCACAATTAATAATACTTCGGGCATAAGTGCTTGATTTAAGGGAATTCAACACGTTGGACAATTCTATAGGAAGATAATGAAATGCTGATTGAGGCGACAGTAATTCAAATTAGCCCCCAATGGAAGTCCTTAAAGAATGAAATTTGGGGAGCACATTACTCTAAACCACCATTTTTTATTGAATTTAATAAGGAAGAATAAAGGAAACATTTAGACAATTAATGAGAATTAGTTTAATGCTTCGTGTGCATGGAAAGCATGGAATAAAATGCTCCAGACAAACAGTTATAAAGACAAGACTCGACAGGAATAAGCTCATTTGCCACTCACCAGTTGTAAGGAAAATTCCAGCAGCAAAGCAGTTGATACGACTTGCCCAAGTCTTCAGTAGTCGGTTGCGTCGCTGTGACATTTTTCGAGTAGTCCTGATAGAAGCAGCAGTAGACGGCGAAATCGCCCCATTCCCATTTATCTCCTCACGTCCATTCAACGTATCTGTAACGTCGGTGCCGCTTGCCCCACTGTTGGTCATATTAAGACGATGTGAATTCTCCCGAGAGACTGAACTACTCTCATGACTATCCACGTCGTAGAGAGAGATTCTTCTACTACCCACGTGGTGGTTGCGAGATCTGTGGGAGTCTGAATTCCGAGTTAAAAGTACGTCATCGGATTCATTGGCCTGAGGATCAAGAAGGAAAGTCGGAGAGGCGGCATCAACTTCTTCAGTCTGGAAGATTATTAACATATATAATTAACTGAAAGGAAGCTGATATGACTACACACACATAAAGGCCTTTCTCGCGCTGATTCATTTTTTGCTATATATTTGTTCCATTTCATATACACGTGCACCTGCACCCATACCATCATTTACGTCCTTGACTAAATGACTCATGTAAACCGCCGATGCATTTGCACCTGCACTTGCATCCATAAAAGCATACACTTTTGGCCTTTATCCAGAACGCTTTCCTCTCGTCCCATATCTCCCTCCGTCCTGCTCCCCCGACTCCTCATCGTGATTTATTCAAATATCCCCTGCTCAACAATCTAAACTAAGACGAAAAGAAAACTATAGGTAAAACGAAAAATATGCAGACATGGGGAGAATCCCTTGCGCAATACATGTGGAAAAAAACGTCCCATTCAACAAGTACTAGAGGAGAAGGGTAAGATTTGATGAAATAGAAGTAAATAGAATAGGGCTTATGCTTATTTTGAGAGAGCGAAATCCCCACCCCCACTCCCCAACATCGTCTCAGAGGTGGACGTACCTGTCCACAATCGTCGATTTTACCGTGGTGTAATAAAAAGGATCAAGCCACAATAAATCAATCGGAATAATTTATTTTCCGTGCAGAAGGAAAAACGATCACAGAGTTAACGTTTTGCTGAGGTAACAAGAACCGGATAGTAGGAGCTAACAACAGAAAAACAAGAGTTCAACAAAAAACTAGAACACCTAGTTGCGTTGGGAAAATGCATGTTGAATAAACCCCAATAAGGATTCGAGGATGTGTAGGACGGAGGAAGACTTTGGGCGTGAGGAAAGTTTACCGTCAGAAGAAAGACAAGAGTATGCAGGGGGGGGGGTGTGTGAAAGTGAGTGAGAATACAGTGGTGTTTTACACGAGTCACCTGGTCAAGAATGTAAATGAGGACGAGTGCAGATGTACTGCAAAATGAAATTGGCTAGTTTTAGTGAAAAGGGAGAATCCATAACCTCGTCTCGATGTGATAAGTTGAGGGAAAGATGGGGGGGGGGGCAGGGGGTGGAGGTTTGAGTCTAGGGAAAAGAAAAGTCAACAAATTAACGAATTTTCACAAAAGAATGTGACTGAAGAGCACTTTTGGAAAGTGCGTAGAGTCATCCCCCAAATTAATGAAAATAAAATGGATTCACTGAGAGTACAGCGATAAAAGAAGCAATTTTGTGTCTAAGTAAAAAAATTAGATTGCCATATCTTCTGGGAGTTGGTTCTTTCCAGTAGTAGTGACTTAGTTCTAGCATTTCATTCAGTTCCAGTCATAAAAAGTGTGGTGCAACTGACCAGGAATGAGGGGCTGTCGACAAACTGACCAATCATAATGGGGACACTTTCAATCTAACGGATGATGACGGCTAGTGACTTGAGTATTCTCCTCTCTAACCAACTTTGATGATTTTGGCACAGATTAAGGGAACTGCATACTCTCAAATTTGACAAGCTATGCTCTGTTGAATCTCACCTTGGACTCTTACATTTTCTGTCTGGTACAAGTAAGACAGCTTTCTATAGTATTATTACCACACTTGGAGGTACATGTAAATTAAAGCTCGTTGTAATCTCACACTTGTAGAGAAGCGAGTGATTTAGATATCATGGAAATGTCAAAAGCGAGGGAGAAGAGAAGAAATATTGTGCAACTGGAACTGAGATATGCAAACGATCACAAATGTAACCGTTTATTGAATAGACCTATTGATCACCAAATCAAAGCTCCCCAAACAGTAGAAGCATTGAAAAGTAAGTGTGGGAAGACGGGAATCCCACGCAAGGAAGAAAATTTATAGGCTCTAATTTTTTGCTCATGCTAGATGACAAACAATTCAAGCCCACCGATAACTTGGGTAAATAACTTGAGTTAAAAATATCCCACCTCTCCAGAAGTTTCCGTTCTTTGTACTCAGGAATGAGGGAAAAAAGTTGGATACTCGTGTGTACCGGTTTATTGATTCAAGTACCTTGGAAACCATAATAGAATAGGCTAATCTAAGCGTGAAGTAATTTGCGTAAAATTCCTCATAACAGAAACGATAGTAGAATTTACAATATCCCCGGCAAAGGAAAAACTCAAATTTTAGCTATAGGATTAGACAGTTCATAATTTGAACTCTTCAGGAACTTAGATCAACCCTACTTCAATAAGACTCCAAATTCATTCAAATTAAGTAAATAGTGGAATTAAAGGTTATAACTAAGAGGAAACTAAGTGAAAGTTAAATTGAATGAAGTTAAACACAATGAAATCACTGAACTCTATACGCGTTATAATTCAACATCTACAAGCTTTGCCGATGGAAATGGCAGCAAGGTCAACAATGAAACAGTTGACCAGATCAATTCACCCTTTGAAGAGTTCGTTCAAAAGCAGGAACGAGAGAAACGACAAAGAAATAGGTGCTTCAACGGTGTAGACGAATGTACAAAATATCTCATCCATTACAAGTGTCTACCTTCTGAAAGCTTAAAGTCAAAAAAATATTTTGAGTAACATAATTTCATCCGAGAAGGAAAGCGAATTCAACCGGTGTTGAGAGTTCTCATGAAACACACTAATCCAGCACTAGACAATGGTGTAGGGTTTATCTAATGCATGCTAATGAACATGATTTAAGAACAAAACCCTAGGTTCTCCAGACTATATCTCTTCAATGGAACGTTAATAAATAATATAATTATTATAAAGTCATTAAGGCAAATCGTAAAGAGGCATAAAAAATGTAAACGACTTACTCCCGAAGCATAGCTGGGCGAGTTCAATGCAGAGCTCCTAGATCCGAAACAACGTCGGGAACAGATTCGACGTGTTATACAGCTTATCACAATAAATGGAAAAGAACAGGCTGCTGCCGTAATAGCGAACATTCCAATCGCGATGCCAATTTTGACGTAGGTAAGGCGACTGACTTCATCGTCCACAATTTGGGTAGCATTTTCAGCATACGTGTAATCGGAGAGACCTGAAGGTTTACAATAGCCAAAACCGTTGAATAGAACCAGTAGGGAGAGAGAAAGCACTTTGTATAAAGTATTCCGCTCCTTGAAAAAAAAACAAAAAAACATGTTGGAATAATGCCCAACGTTCAGTTCCAATGTAAAAGGTGCGCATTTGAAGCGGCACAGAATAGGCCGTAAATTCGCAAAATTGCGTGGAACTGTCCGACGCATATTTAAAACTTAAGTACATCTAATAAAATGAGTCCGAACCCCGTGAATTACACTATGACTACTTCCAATGATTGATTTTGAGTTTCCTACAAGTTTTAAGGCCAACGTGCATGCCTACAAAACTAAAGGTCATTAATTCAGTACTCAATGAACATTACACTAACAGTTTTAATCAATCTGAGCTAAAAAACCAAGGAATCTTTTTATTTAGTTAAAACAAGCGTTATTAACGAGAGAAGGATGGAACGATTCCCAGGACCTTGAGGTCCAAGCCTACCAAAAAAACGCCTCTTAACAAATTCAAGGGAGGAGGAAAATGAACATTAAGAGATCTCGAGATAAGCACGAGATGCATGCAAATATGATCAGGAGGGAAAGGCGACTTTAAATAAAAAAATTAATTAAAAATCGCCACTTTATAAAAAGGAATTAGCATACCATGAGAGATGTGAACTATGCACGCCAAATTGACGAGACTGCCAAGTGGAAAGTCTCGAAACAAGGATGCACTATTATTGGCTACCACATTAACCAGTAAAATTAATATCGTTAAATGATTGGTCCGAGACAAAGTAGGCGTAACGAGATTTCAAGAGAGCTTATGAATGTCATACCAATTTATTAACATGCGATTGGTGAGTTAGGATTTTCAACACTGATAAAACACATTCAAAGGGAAACAAACTTTTATTACAGTCGATTTTTTTTATTCATACAGTAATACAGATAAGTAAATGCATCGTGATAGGAAGAGATTAGAGCATAATAATTAATGTGCGGAGAGATTTCGTGGACGGAGATAGGAGATATTGGGAGCAGCTTGGCTTGCACAGGGACTGCATAACCATTCAACAAAGTTGGACTCGGCTTTAAGGAGAAGAAAGGCTTCTAGAGTGAGGCCTGAACAGGGGAGATGATACCAACCACGACAACCGGCCTCGCATTGAATTGGAGGGTAGGGCTGATTGGAATTGCTATTGGGAGATGGGGCCTGTAGAGGAGGTTCGCAAAGATCACCCGAACAATTGACACAAGTAGCACCTTGTGGCGGAATGGTGAAAGATCCTAGTGATCCCATGGGCTGTTGGGGAGAGGATAATTGGGGCTGTTGCGGCATCATTCCAACGGGTTGAGCTTGAGAAGAGGGAATTGGCTGACGTGATTGCTGCCTATACGACTCCGAAGCTACGAATATATAAGCATTTCAATTAAATCTGCTAGTAAATTGACTTTGGACATTGAGTAGAGGAAATAGACATCAGGTAAGAATGAACAATGGTAATTTAAAATCTGGGAACCAGCGCTTAAAGTTTAGAGCTTGGGGCAAAATAGCTTCGCATAAAAGGAAGCATAGTTTCGACGTTTGGGGCTCTTTGATTAAATAGCATTTTCCTTCGTCTTTCATCACCTGGTTGAAGTGCCTTATCGTTCTCCATTTAAATGACAGAAGAATCGAATTTGAACTTGTGAATACTAATAGACGATTCGTTCATGACGGTGGGCCAAAGATCCCAGGATGGGTCCTCAAAATCCGCTATGTGGAAGACCAACCGGTTGGATTAGTTCTTATCAATAGGAAAAGTGATCCAGGGAAACCTTCATTCTAGCCAAGCGTGCTTGCGTCAACGTATTTCACACAACTACCAGTTGTGTCAATTGAGACACAAATACTTTAACTAATCTACTACTATCAATGAATCCGCATTGGCATGTCACCAAAATTATATCCTGTTATAATGTTGATTGAGTAAGCGCCGAGTGATATACTAAGCTACCCCAGAAATCGCAAAGAGTGACGCTGATACAAAAGCTTAACTTTTGGATCCATTGGATCAAATTATGATCAATAGTGAGGGGGCCTTACATCAATTTCAAAATTTTGCGCAAGAAATTACTGTTCGATAATTTTAGACAAACTTCGCATGGAAATAAAAAAAAGATTCGATTGTCTTGGCGATAATTTGTTTGAAATGCTCGCGTCATGTGGTGAAATAAGTGTTGCGAAGACTAATGGAGAAGGAGGAGAGAAATAAGACCATTAAAATGTGCTCAGCGATAAAAAGCAATTTATCAACTCAGTAGACCAGCAGTAAAACTTCTAAAAAGACCTAAAAATACTGAGACAAGTCGCAAATATCTCCACCAAATTTGAGATAGTGAATAAGTCCCACGACATTTATGGTCATTTTATTCACTTGTGGTTAACAGCAAAATAATTCCTGCAAATGCACTGACCACATCTCCCACCACTTTCGTGGCCTAGGCAATTTGTGTACTGCTATAAGGAGCAGACATAATGATAGCCACGAACAATTAACAACACAAAACAAATAAAACACACTTTCGCTAGCTTTTACTGACTAACGGCTCTCTAAATTCAAGGATAACACCACCGATTCCCTTAAACTGGGTCTTAAAGACAGATTTCTCCCACCTACAGTTCGGACAGGACTTGGAAGCGAAGAACTAAAGCTATATGAACTTTTGTCCTTCAAAAGGAGCAATTATAATGTTGCCCACTTGCCCTGAAATTTAAGCCACAATCGAACGATCTAAAAAAATCTTAAAGAAAAAGAGGTTTCAACAACAGTTACCCTAACCACCGATTTCAATCTTTTCACTTCTCCTCTCTGGTCAGAAAAATCGGCTTAGAAGTCCAATATGCCTTTTACAAAGTGTAACTTGGATGTTGCTTTTTGCTTAAATGGACAAAACTGACGATTTGGGATGAAATCACTTACTCTCCATATTACTCATGCTCGAAGGAGTAACGGGTAGGGATTTCTGTTGTGAAGGCAAACTCACAGTCGGGGAATTAATAGGAAGTGGCTGAGGGTTAAACAAGGCCTGTTGCTGTTGTTGGGGGATTTGAAGAGGAGGAGGTATAGGCCTAACTTTGAGCCCGAAGCCGCTGTTGTCGAAGGAAGCACCGCCCAAGGTGGGATCACCAACTGGAACTTGCTGCATTTCAGAATCGTTGGGAAAACGGGGACCTTGCATTGGGGCCTGAAATCCTAGATGGAGAAAGCAAAGGAATGAAATTTGTAATTTAATGGAATCGCTGGAAAGAGACTATTAGGGTCAAGAAGTCCCACCCCATTGCTTTTTATTATGCCCAAGAAGATTCTCTATTTCACGCCCTCATGCAAACCCTAGGGAGATCTTTCAAAAAATTATAAGAGGAATATTTGAATGGCTGTTAATAACAAAACAATGAGTGCGGTTGTATCAACCAGCGAATCAAGTACATTTTTAGAACAACTGAAACCAAGTATTCGAAAATAAATATGTTGAGTAGGTAAAACAACTAGACTTATGTATGGACGGAATTTGGTAAATAGGGGGAACATAAAATGTAATAAACACACTAAGAGAAAGTTCATATTAGCATTGCTCAGCTTATAGAGATTAAACACGTTGTACATACCATATGAACCACCATTCAATATAAAATTGAACCGGATCGAGAAATAAAAATTTAACACAAAAGGACAGAGAACTAACGAAAGACCTTTAATTGACAGCATTTAATGTAAGAGGAGCATTACTAGTAAGAATAAGAGTAATGAAGCTCTAAATAATGGTCAAGTTGCCAACTTCTACTAAAAAGTTCCTGAATTTAGGGATAGAAAGAAAAGTCAAAATACAGAGATAACCCCGCAGAATTCTCTGTTACAAGCGAAACATGTCTCCGACTGGTGTTTTTACACCTGACTTATAGTAATTAACACACTAAGAAAAATCGGCAATAAAATATATAGCAAAATTGTCCATTGTATTAAATAATGATTATGTAATTTCGATGAATTTACGTTGTTGCGGCATCATGTCCATAGGCAATTGTCCGGTCATTTGATTATAAACAGGTTGTTGTTGGGGAGAGACATGAGGTGGACGAATATTGGGTCCTGTTTGCATATTTGGATTTTGATATGGATAAAGTTGGGGACCACGCTGATAGCCACTTTGGATTCCTGGATCTCCAGGCAGATTCATAGTGGTAGACATAGCGGGACTGTTAATTTGCATTAAACCCTCGGGGGGATACTCGGACATTCCCTCCTTAATATAAAAATACAATAAATAGCAAATCGTACCATTTGATGCACCTTTGCACCAATTGATGCGGCAGGTGGGACATTTCGACAAACTCTGTTTGTGGCTTGAAAATTTGGCGGACGCAAGGGCTGTTGCATATACTGGCCATGACCATTGGCACCAAATTTATTCGGTTGTGGTTGCCCATAAATTGGTTGCGGATTACCCACCATAGATGGCGGGGGCTGCTGACTCACAGGCATTCGAGGTTCCATATCCGAGTATGGATAACCTAAGAGCTCGGAAAGTATTCCAATTTAGGGTTAAATGACACAATAGGCCAACCAAATGCTAAAAATTATTTGTTAAGTAAAACAAAGGGTCAACAAATTATTTAGGTTAAAAGTTTGTGTTAGGAAGTAAAAATATTAATAAACATAGAAAATAAAAAATTATTTTCATATATTTAATTAACGCGTTGCCTAAGGGTTTATTTAGTTCCTTAATGAAACCTGGCTTATTTGTATTTCTTCTTCTCTTCTCTTCTGTTCTCTAAATACTTAACTAAACGATGCCTCAATAAGATTTATATTAAACATAAATGCCGAAGTAGGTAATTTTTCGTGATGTTTTTGACTTCTTTCTGATAAAATTTCATTGCCTCTAAAATATCGCATTATTCGTTCGTGCTATTTTCTTGCTCTAACTTTTTTCCTACAAAACTTACGATAAAATGAATATATCCCTGTTCCAAATTTAATATTTAAACCCGATATCTTACTGCACTGTAGAGGAGTTAGAAATTCTATTATGCTTCCGTAAATATATTATTAAATGGTCATAGTTACAAATCAGTAATAACCACTTCTTCTGGAATGTATGGACTCTTTATAGAATAGTTCGGATTAATGGAAGGCTACCGCCATCTTAGACATTTTTTTACAAATATGTCTAGCTTTGAATATAAAATAGATTTCAAATGTGCAACCTCAAGATTGCATAAGTAAAAAGCCATTGAATGCTGATTGGTAGCTTTGTAAACTCTAAAATGCGTGTAAATGAACTAATTCCTGAATATTGGGTTCAAATAACTTTAATCAAGTACATCTCACGAAAGAAAAACCTCCCATCAAATTCATTATATTTTTTTTCAATTTTGAAAATAACCAACCTTAGTTCATTATTTACTCAATGTAAACCTTAGTTAAACTCTTTTAAAAATAATACAAGCTTTAATTTCCATTTCGATCCGATGCACTTATGCTTAAAAGACAGACAAAACGATTCCTCAACGAAGATGGTACGAATAGTAAGTAACTCATAGGATATTTCGAAAAGAGCCTAAGTTGATTTTGAAAACCGAACCATCTAAGATCCCAATAACGTTCGTTGTTGACGTTTAAACCTATTAATAATTAGTTAATGTGCTCTTTTATGTACTTTCTACCTATTTGGAGGAAGAAAATGGCACTGAGGTTGATCGTTTTTTAAGTAGGTCAACCGGGATAACCATCACCTTAGCAAATTAAAAAAGAATTTCCATGTAAACTTAACTCCTTATGAGCTCATTACTGACTGTTAAGAATTTGGTTATAATGAGTTGCCATTGCATTTTAATATCAGAAAGTGAACCCTTCAAATACAATTAGCTGTTTCTCCGTCAATATAAAAAAATGCTTGATTACTACTTTGTGAAATAGTGTAACGTGAATGATTCAATCAGATATTAATATCTTAAAAGGGCAATCAGTCTACCAATATGTTCACTTGGAGATACCTGACATTACGCAGCTCCGCAACCATTTTAATTCACTTTTCTTCCCCGGTACTGGAGCTCTAAATCGTTTATATACTCACATCCCAACGCAAAATGGTTTTATAAATCCTACATTTTTACTCAGAGTTTCCACACTCCTAAAGTTTACCTCTGTTACTCTGTACTGATATACAGTACGTCTCAATGAACCTTGGTGAACGCAACTCCATCAATTTCTTATTTTGTTAAAATAACTTATCGAAAAGTCGTTTAACTAGTGTTTTAGATACAATTAATTTCTATAGACTGCTTAGAGAGAGGGAATGAGGCACAGATGGCTATTTTTTTAAACTACTTAACAAATATCAATGCCATTAAGGGAAACTTTCACAACGACAAGCCTGGCTAGAGGGCTGATATTCTGGAGCAGTTCTTTCGAACAATGTGAGCTATTCACCGGAATTAACCGTAAGCATTGGCAATTGATCTCGTGATCTACAACTTGATTGACATGCATGTTGTTCACAGCGGTCCCGGATTTACCTTAGTCCTAATCAGCTTCTTCTATTCATTTCCTATAGCAAGACAAGACTGTAAAGTATGCTAATGTTTACTGTCAAGTGATTCAATTGTATCTCCAATATTCCCACATTTAAGCCAAGTTCAGTTCTTCATCTACTTCCCTTCACTAATATACTTATTAAATCTGCGAAAATTTAAATATAGAGTGATAAGAATGAGAAATCGACCATTTAATATGTGGATATGTGATCATCTGTAAATGGATGAAGTAATCATTAAAAGAATAAAAACAAAAAATAGGGATATATGAAATGACAAGGAAATGGGATGTTCTGTGAGCACATCAATGACCAAGAATTATGCTACTTTAATGTGCGTTTAAGTAATAGCAACGATCGATGTGAATAAATGTGTTGGTCTTTGAGAAGAAGATCAAACCTGCAAAACAATGCAAGCAAAACAACCGGATTGCCTTTGACAAACATTATTGCACTTTAATGCCTCCATTTGCTTCTGCGATCACGAAATTTGCGTCCATTTGGAAAACCGAAAATTTTATCGAATGCCTTCTGCAGAAACGGGCGGTGATCAGAGACCTCTTCTATTAAAAGCAGAATTTTTTTGTGAAAGTCAACAAGACAATCCACAGGACGATATAATAGTAAGAGTGGATTATATCATGACAAACAGAATGAAGGAATTGAAGCATTACTCTCTAATGGCCTTAAAGGTGCATATGATTGATAGCTGTAAAATTATTTTAGCTTCAAGCCCATCCGTGTAGGGTTGAAATTTGAGGGGAGAGCCAAGTGGGTGTGCGATAGACTTACCTCCACGTGGTGCACCCTGGAAATATGCCTTCACTATCAACATCTTATTTGGAAGCGGAGGGGTGTGTGCGATAGACTTACCTCCACGTGGTGCACCCTGGACAGCGTGCGATAGACTTACCTCCACGTGGTGCACCCTGGGCAACTTTCAACCCTTGCTGGTTTTCTAAACAATTATTCTTAAGAATACGATAGACTTACCTCCACGTGGTGCACCCTGGACAACGTACTTTCAAATGGCAGGCGTTATGATAGGTATCATGGGGTGTGCAATAGACTTATAAACTTACCTCCACGTGGTGCAGCCTGGGCAACGTATACCCATACGGCCTCCACGTGGTGCACCCTGGCCAACGTATAATCATACGGTCTTACCTCCACGTGGCGCACCCTGGGCAATGTATACTACACCTTACCTCCACGTGGTGCACCCTGGGCAACGTATTCTCATTCGGCTACCTCCACGTGGTGCACCCTGGGCAATGTATACTCATACACCTCCACGTGGTGCACCCTGGGCAACGTATACTCACGATAGACTTACCTCCAGGTGGTGCACCCTGGACAACGTATACTCAAACGGCACGTGGTGCACCCTGGGCAACGTATACTCATACGGCTCCACGTGGTGCACCCTGGGCAACGTTTACTCATACGGCTCCACGTGGTGCACCCTGGGCAACGTATACTCATAAGGCACCACGTGGTGCACCCTGGGCAACGTGTACTCATACGGCAAGTAAGTCTATCACGTGGTGCACCCTGGGCAACGTATACTCATACGGCAAACAAACTGGTGCACCCTGGGCAACGTATACACGGCAAAAGAGTCCGTGGTGCACCCTGGGCAACGTACACTCACACCTTACCTCCACGTGGTGCACCCTGGGCAACGTATTCTCATTCGGCTACCTCCACGTGGTGCACCCTGGGCAATGTATACTCATACACCTCCACGTGGTGCACCCTGGGCAACGTATACTCACGATAGACTTACCTCCAGGTGGTGCACCCTGGACAACGTATACTCAAACGGCACGTGGTGCACCCTGGGCAACGTATACTCATACGGCTCCACGTGGTGCACCCTGGGCAACGTTTACTCATACGGCTCCACGTGGTGCACCCTGGGCAACGTATACTCATAAGGCACACGTGGTGCACCCTGGGCAACGTATATTCATACGGCAAAAACTGGTGCACCCTGGGCAACGTATACACGGCAAAAGAGTCCGGGTGCACCCTGGGCAACGTATACTCATACAGCAAAAATCCTCCACGTGGTGCACCCTGGCCAACGTATAATCATACGGTCTTACCTCCACGTGGCGCACCCTGGGCAATGTATACTACACCTTACCTCCACGTGGTGCACCCTGGGCAACGTATTCTCATTCGGCTACCTCCACGTGGTGCACCCTGGGCAATGTATACTCATACACCTCCACGTGGTGCACCCTGGGCAACGTATACTCACGATAGACTTACCTCCAGGTGGTGCACCCTGGACAACGTATACTCAAACGGCACGTGGTGCACCCTGGGCAACGTATACTCATACGGCTCCACGTGGTGCACCCTGGGCAACGTTTACTCATACGGCTCCACGTGGTGCACCCTGGGCAACGTATACTCATAAGGCACCACGTGGTGCACCCTGGGCAACGTGTACTCATACGGCAAGTAAGTCTATCACGTGGTGCACCCTGGGCAACGTATACTCATACGGCAAACAAACGTGGTGCACCCTGGGAAACGTATACTCATACGGCAAAAGTTATATTAAAAGGCAATTGAATTTTCATTTCTAACTACCATGATCCCGCTCTAAGTCATATTCGACTACTTCCACAGTACTCACCTCGCCATTTTTCTACCTTTTCTATCTTCGTCTTTGAAACACCCTTCTGTTCCCACCCCCCTCTCGAATTTTTTCACTTTGATGTTCCTTCCCCTCTGTAAAACCTGAAGTCAACTAAAGGGCTAATGATAGCCATCAAAACGCCTGCCATTTGATATAAATAAAATTTTAGCTTCAAGTACTATATCCATATAGCTTTAAGGGCATGGTGAAACAACCATTTTATAATGCGCATGAGAGCTCCAGTGATATGTCCTTAACAGATTTAAAGCGAGAGGACCCATAGAATGTGAACATATAGTACTG